TTGAATGAATTATCTATGCTAAATAATAGGTTGGTGCAAAAATAATGACGTAATAATGTCGTTTTTGACGTATTTTTTAACGTCAAAAAACGACATAATTACGTCATTATTTTTGCAACAACCTAATATAATCTACTTTTGTTTGATAGTTGTTTTAAAATTGCTTGTGGACTCAATAATGAACAGTCGTGTTTTGTTATGATCGCCTATATATGCCTTTCATTGTATGTATATGTTGTTTGTTTTTTTAGGGTCGTGGACATATATTTCCTGTTTCGTTCATGTTTTGTGTGTTTATATATCTAAATATGTCTACGTGTTTGCATATTATAATCTGTGTATGTATTGTCTTTTGCAAGATTTCATCCTCCCCTGCCCATATCACCACTTCAAATGTTGTAACGAAGCTTTATGTGACGTCGTCCCCCGGTCGCAGCGCCAACTGTGACGTTCTATCCTGATCTACCACGGCGCCAGTTGTGACGTGGCCGATCCAGGGTCCTATCCCGGTCACGACACCAGTTGTGACTTCCCTAAACAGCACCAATTGTGACATCTTCGCCGCGGCGCCAGCTGTTCGCTCCTCGCTGCTCCGTCCGGGTGTCACTGCTCCAAACGTGACGTTCGCCTGTCGCGTCAGTCGTGTTGTCTCGTACTGTGACGACCAACTGGCTTGGTATCGGTCGCGGCACCCAAATATGACGTTCTAACCTTTTGGTGTAGGAATCTGGTTAGATTTGATATCAGCCTCGCCGTTCCCAACCTGCTTCCAACGCCTGGTTACCAAGGTAACTGCACTGATCTCCAGTCTGCCTACGCACGTTGTGAATTGATCTTAGACAGACGAGATCAAACAGGGGTTGGGGCCCTAATGCAAATTGAGTTCAACTGGGGTGATAACACACAAATATGCATAAAAGAAAATAAAATGAAAACTCAAAAAGTTCAAAGTATCAAAGAAAAAGGTAACAAACTTTATGTCTAGTTGTTCGATACATAGGACTGCATCTATCTCCCGACCCGTTCTGTGGATTGTGACACGTCGTTTTCGCTAGGCAACTTTTAACGCTTCAAGTTGTTTGCTCTCTAAGAAATTTATGTTTCGGTGTGTCCTTGGACGAAAGTCGAAAAAAACTTATTTCTGTGGTCTGGTTCTAAGTCGCTCTTCAAAATAATTGTTCTTGGTTGAAGAGGAGTCCGAAATTTTGCGTGAATCTTGGTCAGCTATCTTGGTCTATCATCTCTGCCGCCAGGGCCGAACGAACTGTCTTCTGCCCGTCAGGGTACGAACTGATTTCTGCCTGTTGGGGCCTGTTTTTTTATTGACGCCGACAAAAACCAGGTTGGGTCTGTTGGCGTCGGGGAGTTCCTCGATAATTCTAAATACATATCCACCTCTTTTATTTCTGGTTAGGGACTTTCCACTCTTTTCCATTTTTGGTAACTTTTTTCTCACTCCCACTTTCTCACCATGCTTCTGAGGGGCGTGAACTGCCCTCTCCACTTCTTCGTAGCGGCTTCTCATACTTATACTTCTTCGTGCGTCACGTGATCACTCTCGGCCAATGAGGTCTTGGTCGGGTATCTTTCCTCCTCCTTCGTGCGTCATGTGATCACCACTTGACCAATGACATCTTAGTCGGGCGTGAACAACCCGCAGCTTTGTTTCGGAAAAAAATACCTTGCTTAACTAAAAAAAATTAATTAAATCGCCGTTATCATGAACGGATGATATGACAACTCTTTGTTCAACACGTGGCATTTGTCAAGCACTTTATCGCCAATTCATCAGACGGCTGGTTTTCCGACATGGCCTCAGAAAAGAATTTTCTCCAAGTTTTCAGTCAGTCTGACGTCTCCAAGGCAGAAATAAAAACATTTCTTATTCCATTCATTTTCCTTCGGTTCATGTGTCTGATAACAAAATTTTATTACCGCAGGGCAAAAGTTTGTTTTATCGAAAAGAGCTTAATTAGCGAGACTACTTGTGTGGGATTTTAATTTTCCATACCCAGCTAAGGCTCCGTACCTACACCTGTGTTTTGTCAATTATCAAAATCTAACGTTTTCAAGTGGACTTTCCTTGGCGAACATTTCTTGATAACACAATTCCATTCGCGCAGGCCAAGTAGGGAAATCGGTCAATGATTGCTCGCAGGTGGCCTTTAATTTTCATATCGGTCCAAAAGTCTTCTTTTTTTTTTTTGTCGCCTGTTTCTTGTCGTCACTTATCGAAATAACATTTTCGCTGGAATTTTTCCCTTGGCCGGTGGCCTGTGTTTTGATAGTAAGATGCCTTCTCGTACCAATAGTTTAGATAACACTTCCCTACCCACTCAATCTCATTGTCATTGTAATGACACTCTTTTCGACATGTGCCACTTATCCAAAATAACCTTTTTTTATTGCCTCTTAAGCCGCGTGTGTGTGTTCGCCTATGATCCGTTTCGCATTACTTTTTCCCTTCCTTTCTCCTTTTCTTTCCTTTTCCCTTTTTGCCTTTCTTTCTCTGCCTGGATGCATGGTGCCACATTTACATTCCCATTAGTTTAACGTTTATTCTTAGATTTTGGCCTTTCAATTAAAACAAAATAAATAATAAAATGTATGTATTTTTCCCTCAGTTTCTCCTTTAAATAATTTTATAATATTTGAAACTTATAACAAATTAAATTTAAAATTTAAATTTGGTAATTTTTAATTTTCAATTTTATGTAAAAAATTAATATTAATTAGAATGATTTCTATTTTAGTCTAACCCTAACATTAATTCATTAATTATTATAACCAAAGTTCGTTGTCAAGTTTTTTGAATTCTCATCTACTTGTAATTTGATTGGTCATTCCAGCTTATGTAACAGAGTTTCCCTTATCGAGGGATGTTTGGTCGATTTCAACGTTTTCAAACCCTTTATTCTATATTCAACACCATCACTTGATAAGTCACCTGAAGTGTTGAAAGAAAATGACTATTTTTGCAGTGATTTCATAACATATTTATCTTATAATTTTCGAATGAATTATATATATATAATGAACATAGAAGACAACACTCAGATATATAACTGAACATAGAAGTCAACACTCAGAGGCGACAAGCTGTTTCATGCTAGACTCAATCGTCTATATTTCCGTAGGCTCTATCCATGATATTGAGCACTTTATCCCATAAATATAGCACACCTTAAAACTATATATATATATATATATATATATATATATATATACAGGGGTTGGACAAAATAATTGAAACACTTGTTAAATTCAAAGAAAATTTATTTAATATGGAGTTGGTCCTCCTTTAGCCTCACAGAAAGCTTTAATACGTCTAGGAATGGAATCATACAGCTTCCTGACTTCATCCAGAGGAATTTTCAGCCATTCTTCCATTAAAACCTTCTCCAGCTCTTTACGACACGACGGTTGAGGATAGTGGCTCCTAACTTGTTGCTCCAAAATGCACCACAAATGTTCAATAATATGGATATCTTGAGATTGGGGAGGCCACTCCATGTGTTCTAGCTCACTTTTATGCTCTTCATACCAATTCTTAACCACTTGAGCAGTATGTATTGGAGCATTATCGTCTTGGAAGATGCAGTCAGCATCAGGGAATAAAGTCTTGGCCATTGGATGAACATGATTCAGGTAATCTTTGCTGTTGATTCTACCATGCAGAGCAACTATTGGACTGAGACATTTCCATGATATGGCGGCCCAAACTATCACTGATCCACCTCCAGGCTTCACTGTTGGAAAAAGACAGTCAGGGTTGTAAGCTTCTTTGGGCTGCCTCCACACATAAACTCACCCTGAAGTTGGGAAAAGAGAAAAACTGGACTTGTTTGAGAATATGTCTTGCTTCCATTGGTCTGCAGACCAGGCATTGTGATCTCTGCAGCACTTCAACCACTTTTGAATTTTGCGAGAAGAGCTTTCCTCACAGCGGCACTTTTCCTGATAAGCAGCCTTATGGAGCTCAAGGTGAACAGTTTTAGTAGAAACTGAACTAATCAGATGGTTATTCAACTCAGCAGTCACTTTGGCCGCATTTGTCCGATGATTTGTTTGCCACATTGCGTTTCAATGCACGTCAGTCCCTGTCAATAAGTTTACAAGTCCGGCCCGAATTGCTATGGTTGCTAGAGGTCTTGCCCTGTTTCTCGAATTGCATCAGTGTTCTTGATATGGTAGCTCTTGAAAAACCAAACAGTTCAGCAACCTTAGTGATCGAGGCTCCTGCCATGCGAATTCCAACAATTTGCTCTTTTTCGAGGTCACGCATTTAGCTTAAATTTTACTAAATTCTAAAAATATTTAAGACAAAGACAATAAATTAGATAAATAACGTATTTACAATAGATATAACCTGCAATTACGAAGTTTTAGTTAAAGTTCTTAATATTATAGGTCTTTGAAATATAGGAGTGGATTTTGCAACTGTTCCAATTATTTTGTCAAACCCCTGTGTGTATATATATATATATATATATATATATATATACCGGGATCGAAACTCGACCGATTTGTTTGCAGTCAGAGAATCTCTTCCTAAGCTATCGGTGCGCGACAGAGAAAACGGTATCTTTAACGTATTATATAAACGCTAGACGAGAAGAGCGACGAGGGATGCGATAAGCAGCAGCCATTAAAAATTCCCTTTCTCCATAGTGGTCAGTCGGCGAACGATATATATATATATATATATATATATATATATATATATATATATTCAGTTGTTTGGATATGAGTATGTTACCTCGGGTTTCACGCATTTGCGATCATCAGACAAAGTTTACCTGATGTTCGCAAAAACGTGAAAGACAGGATCACAAACTCATATCCATACAACTGAATATGTTAACTCTATCACTGATACACAGCGCTTTCCACTAAGTATTGCACATACAAAATATAATATATATATATATATATATATATATATATATATATATATATTATTTCTTAACACAAAACGTGTTGACAGATCTGTAAGTAAGCTCCTGTGGGGTGAAATATCTATTCAATTCGGATAATTTGAATTTCAACGTAATCTATCTATCTATCTATCTATCTATCTATCTATCTATCTATACCAGAGAATTCAGGATAAAATGTATCTATCCAGTTCTTATCTCTTATATATATATGTATATATATATAATCATATATATAGATGATGATGATGATGATTATGATGATTATGATGATGTTGGACTCTCCCTTCGAATTCGATGTATGAGGTTCCGACGACCACGAACTAATTATCTGCATGCCTATGACGGGCATGACTTTTGAGACCGGCTCGAGAATTGCACAAAAGACCACAAAACAGTACAGGTGAATGTATTGTATCCAAGTGCAGCAGGAACATTGTTAGATGTCTTATTTTGCTGTTTTTCTTTCTGGTGATGAGTTGTTGTCCTGGAGAGTTCGTACATTTCAAGTACCAAAATGAAGTTGATGTTGTTTCGTGGAGTTTTTCGCTGTAGCCCGATATGTGTGGAACTAATTAGATGTAGTTGACAGAAAACCAACGCAATGATTTGTTTCAAGTGGTGAAGGCCTGTGCCGGACAATCCACACGTTTTGGATCTGTTGATAAAAAAGTAACGGTGCAAAAGACTTGCCACGGAAACTCCGAACGACAGTACTCATGTGTTATTATCGGGGAGTTTAAAGTCTCCGGATCACAGTCAATATCAGCCAGTATACGCCTCTCGGCAGACATGCAATATAATGACAGGGTTAAGCTGTCACGAATTTTCCTTCCTATCTGAAGTTTTTTTAACGTGAAAACAACACAAAACGGATTGCTAACCAAAGCTCGATATAGAGAGAGAGAGAGAGAGTGAGAAATATTATATATGGAAAAGTTTTATCACTTAGCTGATTGATGTTACTTTCAGCATCACGACTCCAGAGTTTCATAGACGTACCTGTCCATCCACTCTTCAGGGGATATCAGCGATTAACTGCTTATACTTCTCGATTTTTCTTTTTTATATGTACTCATCACTGGTGCAAGTTTTTTTTTCCTTTTTCATAGTGTATGTAGGTCAACACTTGGATTGAATTTGCTTATAATGAAAGAACAAATGTCATGTTGAACTAGGAAGACTCAGAATGAAGTTAGTCAGAATTGATATGACTGCATGTTTAATGGTTTGAGGAGGCATGGAGGAGTAGTGGATAGCGACTCGGATTAAAACAGAGAACTGAGTTCGAATTCCAGTCGAACCCATTACATTCACTTACATGCTAATACCCTTGGGAAAGGTATTAATCCTCTTCTTCTCTCTCCAGCTATGGGTAAATTGCAGGACAGACTGGGTTCTATAGCCTTGGATGGCAACTGGTCTAGGAGAAGGACAACTCTGAATTCAAAACCTGCAGAGGGTAGTTTGTGGACCTTGTGGCACATAGTGCACCAGGTCTCTGTATTCGGCCCTTCCAAAAGTGTGGTTGGTTCTGCTCAAAGCCTTCACAACTATAATCAAATCATATGTGCTGGTGTCTGGGCTGTCAGTTCCTAGGAACTGAACTGCTTGACTCTCATACGTGGAATATGATATGGTGATATTTGAACCTGGGTCCCACGCAACCGTTATATAGTAATCACTTAGCTGATTGATATTACCTTCAGCATCTCGACTCCAGAGTGCTGTAGACCGACCCGTCCATCCATTCGTCAGTGGGTATCAACAATTGACTGCTTATACATTTCAATTTTTCTTTTTCACATGCATTTACCATTGGTACAAGTTTTTTTTTCCATACTGCTTTTCTGCTTTCATGCCTGTGCTTCCATATATACATGACGTTAAAACACCAGTTCCCGCACGATGACAGAAGTTAAGCTATATCGAGCCTGGTCAGTACCTAGAATGGTGACTGCTTGGGAATACCAAGTGCTGGTAAGCTTGGATGTACGGTTAGTACAATGGATAATGGCTCGGAATTGTCAATCGGAGAGCCGAGTTCCAATCCCATTGGGTTTGTTATATTCGCAAACACCATCTCTTCTGACCCCAGCTATAGGTTAATTAGTAAATCCTTAATCACTAACTCATTATTATCTCAAAAATTAAAATTTGTACAATCTAAAATTATTTTCTGACTTTAAATAACCTGCAAAGGGTTGATAAGCCATAAAAAACGTATCAATCAGTCGATGAAATAATGATTAGCTGCACAGGCCTGTCTTTTATATTTATTTACATTGAATGTATAGAGACTACCGTGGCCACAAAGTGAGGGACCAGTTTATATATTGATTGTAATATGGAATTGAGCCCCTAATTTATATCCACGTCATATTTTCTAATATAGGTATGAATCTACAATCTAAAATTATTTTCTGGCTTTAAATAACCTGCAAAGGGTTGATGAACCGTAGAAAATGAATCAATCAATCAAATACTGATTAGTTATAGAGGTATGTCTTTTACATTTATTTACATTAAATGTCTCGAAACTACCGTGGCCACAAAATTAGGGATCAATTTATAAATTGACTGTAATATAGAATTGATCCCCTACTTTATATCCACGTTATATCTTTTGAGTTTATCAAATTTTGAATTACAATCTAAAAATATTTTCCAGCTTTAAATAACCTGCAAAGGGTTGATAAGACGTAAAAAATGAATGAATCAAGCAATGAAATACTGATTCGCCACACAGGTAAGTCTTTTAGGTGTATTTACATTCTTTAGTATACACATGTATAGAAACTACCGTGGCCATAAAGTGAGGGATCAGTTTATATATTGATTATAATATAGAATTGTGCCCCTACTTTATATACACGTTATATTTTCTAAGGTAGATATGCATCTACAATCTAAAACAGTTTTCTGGCCTTAAATAACCTGCAAAGGGTTGATAAGCCATAAAAACGAATCAAACGTTGCTCATACTTCATTCATCATTCCATTCAGTTCTAAGAAAAGTCATAGCTTTGAACATTACAATTTCAAATTCAATTATACCGCTGTCGACATTATTACTGCCTCCGTCCCATAATAGCTGTTCCACTTAGTGCATGAAATGAGTATGCAAATGTATCAACTTTTATTGGACAGAAGTAATATTACTTTAGAAGATTATCAACGAATCCTTTCCAATTGAAGCATGTCGGTGGGGCACTTGATTGATTGTTTTTCTAAGAGAGAGTGAAAAAAGAAATGGCGGATGCCTGTAGAAGAACCTGAAGTGACCCAACTTGAGAAAGTATGGCGCCAAAAATAAACTTTCTTTAATTCGGTTCGGGAATATTGCAATAATCATAAACCAATTCCAAAGAAGTCATGCTAAACTAAAATTTGGTTTGCGAAGCATTTCTCTCTCATTTTTTCTCTTGCTCTATCTCATTCTATTTGTCTTACTCTATCTCTTTCTCTTCCCAATCTCTTTCCGTCTATCTATTTTCCCATCTTTTTCTTATTCACTCTCTTCCTTTTTACCTCTCTTCCGCTATCTTGTTCCCTCTCTTTCTCTGTCGCTTTCAGCCTCTTCCTTTTTATCTCTGTCTCATTCAGTTCTTCTCTCTGTGTTTCTCGCCCTCTCTTTCCATCTTTTTCTCTATCGCTTCAACTTTCTTTCTCACTTTTTCTCATTAACTCATTTTCTTTTTACCTCTTTTCCTACACCTTGTGACCCCCTTTTTCTCTTTCACTCTTTTTATCCCTTTCTCCTTTTTACTTTACTCTCTGTTTATCTATATCTCCCTCTCTCTCCATCTCTCTTTATCTTCACGTTCTTCTCTTTTCATTCATTCTCTTTCTCTCTCTTCCTCATTCTTTTCTCTTTCTCTTTTTTTCCCTTTTTCCATTATCTTTCTCTCTTTCTCTCATCTCCTTTATCTCGTTTCTCTCTTTCTCTCTTTTTCTCCCTCTTTCTCATTATCTTTCACTTTCTCACTCTCTCTTTCTCATTCATTCTCTTTTTACCTCTCTTCTTCTATCTCGTTTCCTCTCTTTCTCTCTTTTTTCCTCTCTCCCCATCTCTTTTTTCTCCTCTTACTCGTTTCTCTCTTTTCTCTTTTTTCTTTCACTTTCTCTCACTTTCTCACTCTCTCTTTCTCATTCATTCCCTCTCTTTTTACCTCTCTTCCTCTTACTCGTTTCCTCTCTTTCTCTCTTTTTTCCCTCTCTCCCCATCTCTTTCTCATTATCTTTCACTTTCTCACTCTCTCTTTCTCATTCATTCCCTCTCTTTTACCTCTCTTCCTCTTTCTCACCTCTCTTTCTCATTTTCCTCTCTTTTACCTCTCTCCTTTTTCTCTCTTTCCTTTATCCCTCTCTCCCCATCTCTTTCTCATTATCTTTCACTTTCTCACTCTCTCTTTCTCATTCATTCCCTCTCTTTTTACCCCTCTTCCTCTTACTCGTTCTCTCGCTTTTTCTTTTTTTCTCCGTCTCTTTTCATTTCGTTCTGTATCTCTTTCTTTCTTTCTTTCTTTCTTTCTTTCTAAGAATTCTGTTACTTTAGTTTTGGCATCCTTTTTTTCGACAGAAATATTTTGCTGCCATAATTTATGGAAATTTATGCAAATATTTATGCAAATGTATGCAAATATTTATGCAAATTTATGCAAATATTTAACAAATTACTTTTGAAACCGATCACTATTTCATTGACCAGTAGGCACTAAATTTCTTTTTATAGTTTAACCTTTTCCAAATATGACATTGGTCAGGAATATAAACCGTTTCACTTGTATTCACAACAAATCATTCCACTTTGTAAATCAGAAAATAAAGAGAATTTTAAAATTACGCGGTAAAAATAATAGAGCGGTGCTGACCCACGACCACCAAGCATGCGCACTGGATAACGGGTAACTAGCCGCCCGCAATATTTCATCGTTCAGTCGAGGGAGCAACGAGGTCAGACGTATGGACGCTCCACTCAGCGATTGTACTACCGAAGAACAACACGCTGTTGTGCGCTTTCTGTGGGCAGTGGGAGTCAGACCTGAGGAAATCCATCACCG